TATATTTATACAACAGTTCTGTCTGGTTATCAAATCTGATTGGCTGATAGCCGTGTGATATTCTGCAATATCAGAACTCCTGCAGCCTCTTTACCCTTTGTGTATTACTCCGCCCACATACAGCCAGCAGAAAGCAGACACTACAGATCTAAAGTGTAAAAGTAGCAGTGTGATATTGCTCATATAGGTAAAGTCAGAATTATTCACCCCCTTTGAATTTTTTTTTCTTTTTTAAATATTCTCCAAATGATGTTTAACAAAGCAAGAAAATGTTCACAGTATGTCTGATAATATTTGTTCTTCTGGAGGAAGTCTTATTTGTTTTATTTTGGCTAGAATAAAAGCAGTTTTGAATTATTTATAGAGTGTAATCAGTGGTAGAAGGACGCTGCAAACTAACTGAAGTGTGTGATTATCAGCATCTCTGCTGGATCATTAATTATGCAGTTAATTATCAGTGGAGTCATTAGTCAAGCTGCATTCAGATGTGCATTCATTACTTCCTGCTCTGCTTTTTAAATACATTTAAACGAATATGACGATGTTTTAGATGAAGTTTCGAGTGATTCTCCTTATCACATCCTATCATATATATATAGGAATATTTGTTTATATTACTTTAGTTGTTGTGTTTTCATAGCAACTGTGGAATCACCACAACAGATCAATCACTTTAGTTGTTGTTACCATAGCAACTGTAGAATCACCACAACAGATCAATTACTATAGTTGTTGTTACCATAGCAACTGTAGAATCACCACAACAGATCAATCACTATAGTTGTTGTGTTACCATAGCAACTGTAGAATCACCACAACAGATCAATCACTGTAGTTGTTGTTACCATAGCAACTGTAGAATCACCACAACAGATCAATCACTATAGTTGTTGTTACCATAGCAACTGTAGAATCACCACAACAGATCAATCACTATAGTTGTTGTTACCATAGCAACTGTAGAATCACCACAACAGATCAATCACTATAGTTGTTGTTACCATAGCAACTGTAGAATCACCACAACAGATCAATCACTGTAGTTGTTGTTACCATAGCAACTGCAGAATCACCACAACAGAATAATTCATGAACTGTATAGTATGGTTTAAACACTGCAGTATTTACTATAAATGACTTTAGTTTTTAAATGTGAAGCAATATTTGAAACTCTAGTTGAAACTCTGGTGTGTCTAAATGTTTCTCAGTCTGTCAGTCTGCTTATGTTGCAAACTTGTGAGTGTAAAGTGTGCTGATTTGTTGATATGACGGTTGCCTACGGTTAGAGGTTTCTCTTGCCCTACTTCCTGTTTAAGACATTACACTTTGCCCTATTTCCTGTGTGAAACAAAAAGCACCTTTTAAAGTCATTTGGAGACGGCAGACGCACTCTCTTTATTCAGACCTGCTTTAAATCAAACCCCCGCAGACGAAACGCTCCATTAATATAATGCAAATACATGTATTTCTGTTATCAGTGGTTTCACTTCCTTTGTGCGTACGTGACATCATATCCTGTGTTCATTACCGCAACAATGCATCTGTATATGTGTGGAGGGTTTGTCCAGAAAAATACTATAGTACACTTTAGTTTACTACGGTAAAATGTAGCATGACAGAAGTTACTACGTCTAACTGTATCATAAGAATTATAATAGTAATAACATGAACATGAACACCACTACTGTGCATATGTGTCAGTGTTTACATATAAAAATCATTCATTTCCTTCAGCTTAGTCCCTTTGTTAATCAGGGGTTGCCACAGTGGAATGAACCACCAACTATTTCAGCATATGTAATTAAATAATAGTAGTTGAGTGTGTGTGTGAAATGAATGTGTATGGGTGTTTCCCAGAACTAGGTTGCAACTGGAAGGGTATCAACTGTGTAAAACTTATCCTGGAATAGTTGTTGGTTCATTCCACTGTGGGACCACTGATGAATTAAGGGGCTAAGCTGAAGGAGAATTAATAAGACAGTTAATAGTAACTTTAAGGAAACAACAACAACA